GCGCGCGCTATACATTACTCTGAGCGCGTTTACGAAAGGAGAAAGAACAATTAGAATAAATAGTCTTCAATATAAGCGTTGAGGTATAGATGATGACGATTTCTTCACAATACTTAAGCACACATTTAAATTTTACACATTCAAACTACACAAATCAAAGCAGAAAGCTACACCGAGTCGGAAATTGAAAAAATTGGTGCACGTGGAGAGGAAGAAAGATAAGGTTTAGGTGGCACTTGCAAGTCTTCAAGCTTTCCTTCCAACATTTCTAGAACCTTCTTCATCGACGGCCGGTCTTTGGGGTCAATTTGTATGCACCATAATCCCACAATTAAAAGTTTTCTCTCTGTAATTACCTCGCTTTCATCTTTATTATTCGCAATAATCCCATCAAGATCAACATCAATTGCTTCTAGCTCCTTGTAGATATATTGCGGGAAGTATACTTCACTACTCGTGTCATCGGCATTAATTACATCTTTATACGGACCATTCTTTTTCGTCGCTCCCACAATTTCCAAAATCATCATTCCGTAGCTGTAGACATCGGATTTGTGAGATACTTCTCCAAAGTTCTTAGAAAACACTTCTGGAGCAATATACCCTATCGTCCCTCGTGCCACTAACATGGAAACTATACTCAATCTGTTAGGGCATAATTTAGCAAGCCCGAAATCGGATATCTTCGGATTGAAGTCCTTATCCAGAAGAATGTTGTGAGGCTTTATATCAAAGTGCAAAATCCGCGTGTTGCACCCTTCATGCAAGTATTCAAGCCCTCGAGCAATGCCAAGTGCAATTTGAAACAATTTTTCCCATCCCAATATTATTACATCTTCTTTTGATGATGACGAAGCACTATGTTGGATGAATTTTTCAAGAGAGCCATTAGGCATGAATTCGTAAATGAGAGCTCTTTTCGAACCCTCGAAGCAGAATCCGAGAAGAGTGACGATATTAACGTGGGAAGTTCTGCTAATACTTGCAACCTCATTCATAAATTCGTCTCCATTCCCTTTTGATTCGTCCAACATTTTCACCGCTACAAGACGACCATCATCGGATACTTTTCCTTTGTAAACATTACCATAGCCTCCTTTCCCCAAGCTTTCACTGAATGACTTGGTCATTTTTTTAATGTCCGAGTATTTGAATCTTGTTGGTGCAAGATTCCCGTTGTTCTTCAAGAAGAGTTCAATGTCCTTTTCATCGGGTTATTTACCCTTTCGATATCTTTGCAACTGAAGTAGTATATACCTCCTTCGGATG